CAATTGGTTTGGTACTATGGATTCTTCTGATATTTTTTCCCTGCAAATAACAATTTAAGACTAAGGGAAAGGAGAATTATTGGGTAGGCAAATTGAAACAGATAGTCTTTAATATATTGCCTAACTGGTACTTTAAATATTTAGTTTCTTGTTTATTTATTTTTCCCCAAACAAAATAATATCTGTCTTAACAAACTGGAACTGCTTAGTTCTATCTTGGCCAGAAGATAAATATCCATAAAGCAGTAAATATTTATATATATATAAATGTATAAGGACTGCAGAGAATTAATTATTTAAAACTTATGTTTAGTTGTTCTTAAGAATATTTAAAACAAATCAAATGAAGCAGTTGACAAGTTTAAAATGTTGATAACATGTTTATTTTATTCAGCAATTGGACTTCCAAAATATTCACAAGGTATAAATAAAAGACTACTTTGAACAATATTTTGGACAATATTTTGGGGAAAAAATATTCTGAAATCCTAAGGACTAATGGTTGTCTCTAAAGGATTTAATTTAATTAACTTATATCTACTTACTCTTCCTTTTCAATGAGCCTTAGCTATTGTTAAATAAGCATATGACTTTTATTCCACTAAAAATCCAATTATAATTTTTACAGAATTAAATTGAATTTATGTTGATTTATAAATTACTTTGGAAGAAATTTGACCATTTGATAACATTGTCATCCCATTCAAAATAAAGCAATATCTCTATATTCACTCAAAATCTTTCCTATATCCTCTATTAAACTTTTTAAATTTTCTCCATTTTCAGCTGTATATATTTATTGCATATATTTGGTTGTACATTGGATTATGTATATATTCTGAATAATATTCCAGCACATCACTGCTGACAAAGAAATGTTTTTTCTGAGTATCTTTGTATGAAACAATCTTGCATGGTATGGAAAAAATTCTCTTATTAGTTCTAATAGCATTTATTATTTTTCTGTAGCATAATATTGTCTGCAAATAATGGCAAATCTGGGTATCTGTGTCTTTATTCTGGTTTAAATTTCTCAATCCTTTTACTTCAAAGTATTGGCCAGGAACTCCCACATAACATTAAGTAGTAGTTAGTGCTTTAATCTTGTTACTGATCTTAACAAACATGAATTTAAAGTTTCCCTGTTATGTTCTAAGCTCCATGCAGATTTGAGATATGTAGGCTTCACAAGTTCAATCAATACTCTCCTATTATACCTAATTTCATATTAAAATTTAGAAATCTTTAAAATCAGAAATAGGTGTTGAATATTGTTAGATGATTTTCTGCATCTCTTAAGATAACCACTTAAAGGGAAATCTCCAAAGAGGAAAAGTCAACATGAAGCTGTTTTTCTCTGGCGTGAATTTTACTTCAACTCAACATGCATGTATTAGCACTTCCCTTACTTGGCCTTGATTAACTTATATCAGTTCATTCAGTCAGCCACACATGACTCTATAGCACTCCTGCTCAAAGAATAATCCATGTGTTAGAAATGCCAACTTTTAAGTTCTACCTCACCCCTGAATCAGAATTGGCTATGTTTTCACAAGGTCCCTAGTGGTGCACACAGGAGAGTTGAGAGGTTCCTTGCAGTCCTTTAGCCCTGCTGTAAGGACATGACTCCAGACACCAGAGACCGTGTGCAGAGGGCAAGGCGGCTCTTGCCGTGAGTGCTCTGGAGATGCCCTGGGGCATGGAGATGCTCAGGGGCTGGACACAGAGGCAGTGTTTAGGGGTCATCTTGCTCCATGTGCTGCTGCTGATATCTCTGCAGGTTTCCCAACAACCCAACTTGAGGAAACAAGACAGAAAGCAAGAGACAGGAGATTCATCCTCTACTTCTGGTTCTGCTGCTGAATGTCAGTGAAGTCCCCCCAGCTTCACTATCTTTTTTTTTTTTCTCTTTAAAGATTTATGTCTTTTTTTTAAAGATTTATTTATTCATCTATACAAGCACTGGGTACAGTCAGAAGCGCAGGAGGGTGAGAGAATTCACCAGAGTCAGAGCGGAGAGCAGAGCAGGCAGACTGACGAAATACACTGCTAAGGGGAGCAGCGGGCATGGCAGGAGAGGTCTGCGCGCCATGTGGGACCCTTGCTGGCAGCCGGGGATTGAACCAGTGCTGCAGAGCAGCTTCCCAGCCCAGCGCTCAACCGCTACGCCACCAGGGGAGGCCCTTCACTATCTTTTTCTGTGTCTTCCTTGATTTAGCTAACTGAACCAAAGCAGTTGAAGGAACTCATGGCTATAGTTACTCAAAGCTCCACCTGTCAATGACTCACAGCTCTCAATGGGTGTCACTTCTCTTTGTCTTTGCCATGGGAGAAGAAGCATTGCCATACAAGTGCCCTGCACCCCACAGCACTGGTCTGCATTATCACTGGTCCGCCACATCTAGCCCCAGTAATAAATAGGTCTCTGCCACAATAGTGCTACATAACAAAACAAGCCAATTTTAGGGACTTTGCACAATTGTTTATTTCACTCTCCAGCTGTGGGTCTGTGTCAGCTCAGCTGGTCTCACTGGACTCAGCTTCCCCCAGGGTGTGAGTCAAGATCTATTCTCCCAGGTTTGCAATCCAGAACTGGGGCTGAAGATGCAAACTTCATCACTGGACCTTCCCTTCTCAAGGCTGAGGGCAGGGATTCCATTAGGCCATACACTGGCCATGCGTCTTCAGTCTTGGCTCACTGTCACTCTGCCCACTCAGCTATAAGGATAAATGAAATTCTGTCATATGCATATGACCAAACTTCTTCTATTTGAAATTCAAGAACTAATTCGCAATGTGGCCATTTTTATGTTGATTTTCATAAAGATGCAACACTAAGGTTGATTCAATTAAAGAAAAATCAGGAGACATTGCATTAAATCAATGCTTACTGACTGCTTGCTGGTGCTGCAGAGTGAGTGGTCAGTTGATCAAAAAAGTAGAAAAAATCGGGGCCTCCCCGGTGGCGCAGTGGTTGAGCGCTGGGTTGCGAAGCGGCCTGCAGCCTCTGCTGAGCCGGTTTGATCCCCGGCTGCTCCCCGGCCACCAGAGGAGGGTCCCACATGGCGCGCAGACCTCTCCTGCCGCCCGCTGCTCCCCTCAGCAGTGTCCTTCGGTCCTTCTGCCTGCTCTGCTCCCCGCTCTGTCTCTGGTGAATTCTCTCACCCTCCTGCGCTTCTGACTGTACCCAGTGCTTGTATGTATGTATGTATCAATCAATCAATCAATCAATAAATAAATATTTAAAAAAAAAAAAAAAAAGTAGAAAAAATAATTAAGTCACTGTTGCTGTTTTGGAGACTATACTTAAGCAAACAGAACTTTCTGTGTGTCCAGGTTTAGAATCAAATTAAGAAGTCTATGCCAGATTTAAACTACATCTTTCTGCAATTATACCCACAAGTGGTTATTAAATTTCAGCAGAATATATCATTTGAAGCACAAATGGAGGGGAAGCTAGGCTCTCTGTTCCCTCCAAAGTGGCCCATTTGCTGCAGTTTTTAAAGGGATTATGTGGGTGGCATCTACCTAAAAAAAAAAAAAGACTAGAGGAAGCAAGTCTGTGAGGCTGTAAAGTAAGTAGTGAAATAGTAGTGCCCTCTTACAGCTTACTCTCCCTCCCCTCTGATAGGGTCCTGCTCCCCTGACAGTTACACCACACCCCAGGCTCACTAAAAGCTATGGCTTCATGCAATTACTCTTGCTAATTTCAGCTTACTTTGAGCTTTCTCTTTCATTGTATACCTCCTTTAGCTTTTTTATTATATAAACACATGAAGTTCATCTTTGCCTTTAAATTTGCATATTAGAATTAGAGCCAAAATAATTTAATTATTATCAACAACTGTTTAATTTTAAAAGTTTCTACCTTTTAGGAACCCTCTTACACTGCTGGTGGGAATGCAAACTACTCCAACCACTATGGAAAGTGGTGTGGAATTTCCTCAAATTACTAAAAATGGAGCTACCATAGGACCCAGTGATTCCACTCCTAAGATCTACCTAAAGGACACAAAAACATTAACTTGAAAGGAAACTTGCAGGTGTATATTTACTGCAGCAATATTTACAGTAACCAAAACATGGAAACAAACTAAATGTCCAAAAACAGATGACTGGATCAAAAGATGTGCCATACACACACACACACACACACACACACCAGAAGAATATTCAGCAACCAAAAAGATAAATTCATGCCATTCACAGCAACATGGATGGAGCTAGAAGGGATTATGCTCAGTGAACTCGATCAGAGGAAAAAGAAACATATTGGATGGTTTCACTCTTAGGAGGAATATAGGAAAACTGAACATAGAGTCACAAAAAAAAAGACAAAACTTGGAAGCAAACTATAGATCTGAGGCATACAGCAAGGGAGGGGAAGGAGAAAGGTCAAAATAGGGGAGGGTAGAGCACAAGGGACTATGGTGGTGGTTGATGAGGTAATTGGAAATTGATGGGAACTCACAAAAGCAGAGAAATCAAATATTGTACAAAAATTAAAAAAAAATGTACAAAAAAAATATTAAAAAAAAAAAGGCCCTTGCATTTTAAAGGATGTTGTGCACAGAAAGAATATGGCAGTTTAATCCACACAGGAAAGAACGCAAGACAAAGATGAGTTCCACACCATCAGGTAGTACAATCTCTGATAAGATTCATGAGTTCTGAGGTTTCTTCATATACACCCCAGGAAAAGCCCTACTGACTTTCAGCGTCTAGTGTTTCTACAGAAAGTTTGAGGGTTGGACAGCTTCAGCTGGAGAGCAGAGCCGACACCACGCCATCCCTCCTGTTTCTGAGTCCATTTTCTGCTCCTCAGTTACCATGAAGTCATTGCTTCTTCATTCACAAAATAACATGAGATAAGGGGCCCTGCTCACATCTGAGCACTGATGCAAAATGAGCGGCATTTAGGCAGCAGAGAGGAAAACACACTTGGAATGAGAAAATTTAACACAGAGACCTCTGCGCTAGCTGCCACCTCCAGGCTGAGTTCAAGCCTGGAATGATAAATTGAAAGCAGTATTGTGTGTCGTCCCCTGCTCTGAAGTGAGGAAGATGGGCTGGCCTTGATCGGCAGAGGAAGCTATGAACCAGCCAGGGAAAGCCACGGATTCGAAGGTGGAGGTTCTGCCGGTCACTTCGTGGTAGAAGAGGAAGGGTTTCACAGGCCCCGGTTGGTTGTACAGATCTAGAATCTTCTCTGCCTGCAATGGAGGGACAATGCCCACAGGGGAAGCAGAGGCTGTTTGAGTAATTCGAGGTGACTTGTACACAAACAATACACATCCCAAATTTCAAAAAGGCCTTATCCACCTATGAGAGCAGCTCTAGAGAAACACATTTCAAAGGAGCAGCAGAGAGAAATCTCCTGCCCAGCCTCCACCCTTAAATCCAGAGATGGGTTAGAAACAATCACAGGGTACTGAACAAGTCAGTAGATTGGGACTTTCTCACAAAAGAGACTGAGGGGATCCTCCAGCAAAGGAAGGAGTTGCCATTGTGCCGCAGGGAGCCAAGGTCCTCCCTTAGCAAGGCTACAGGGGCCAGAGGTACTGCCCACTAGACTCTAAGCGCCCTGAGGGCAGGGCCTTGATGCTTTTTGTGGTAGAAGTTCTGAGGTGCCACTGTGCCCTGATGCTTCTCAAATGCCTCCAACATTGCTGGAGGTCAGGAAGGACCACACATATCCTGGATAGAATGGTTTGGGGTAGAATTACACTGAATTGAGTTAAACTGAAGTTTTTGGAAACAAAGTATAAGGAGTAAGTTCTTTATATATAGCTTAGTCATAAAGAGAAAATAAGAACCACTCAGAGAGCTTGAGAATCGATATAGTAAAGATGGAAATTTCAGAAAACACAAGAAAAGGATGATTTAGCAGACAGGACAAGACTGAAAATGGAGTCATAGTCTGGGAAATTGATTCAGGAAATTCTGATTCAGGAAATTCTCCCAGACCCAACATGAAGAGAAAAAAAGTAAGGAAAGGAGAGCAAGTGTGGAAAATTAGATATTACAGTGGACTCTACAAGATCCAGTGACCAACGATTAAGAGTTGCAAACAGGAAGATAAAACAGAAGCAAATACATTTGAAGAAACAACACCTAAGAATATCTCACAACTCAAGAAAGACAAGGGTCCTCACCTAGTGAGGGAAAGGATAAATCAAAGAAATGTCAGCTGCAGGCATACAACTCAAAGGAGCTAGGAATGTGTATGCTTAAAAATTTAATTCTAAGATTTTCTACCAAATAAACTTCTTCTCAAAGATATGGACTTCTGAAATACTAACTTTTCACAGTATTTTCACTATTACATTCATAGTCACTCACCTTGAGTTTTAGTGTGGGCTGCCCTTCGATGTCCTCACAAGACAGACACATTTCTGGTTGCTCTATCCCCAAATAAATGGGAATCCCTTTGCCTTGCTCAAGAGACTCGGGAAACTTGCATGGAAGGACAGTGACAGTTACTATGAAGATAAGAGAGCAGATGGTGTAAGCTTTTCTTTGAAGTCAGGAAAAGACCACTGTATTCCAAGTAGGGTCACCCCACATCTACCAGATGGCCAAACGCCTCATTCATTCATTCATACATTCATTCATTCATTGACACCTTGGGGTAATCACTGCCCTAGAATATGTAACAAACATAAAAAATTAAACAGTCCATTATGGCCTTGAGATTTTCACACCTCTCTTAAACACCAACAGGTGCCAATTCCCATGCCAAGCAGCACTTCCACCCTTGAAGAAGTCTGTGAATTAATAAATTTTGCCTGATATGATGATGAAAGCTGACCCCCTGGGATATCAACAGATTCAGTCTTTGTAGGGAACCAGGGAGCCAGACTGAACAGGGTACTGCTCTTCCAGGACAGACCCTCAGATATGGAGAGTATTTTTCCTGTTCCCCATAATTCTGCTCCAACTCTGCTTTCTTTACCCTGGTCCCAGACAAACTTCTCCATATTGTCCCATGAAATTCTTCTCCCTCCTGGAAGCCCACTGTGAAGTCAGTCCCCCAGCCCACTAACTCAAGGGGACCCTCACCTGAAGTCACATCAGCTCTCCGTGGAACTGCCACAAGGATGTCACCTTGAAGGATCCACACTTGCTGACTCAAGTCAGAGACAGCTGCTGTTTGAGGTTTTATTGCCGCTGTTTAAATGAGAAAGAATGATTAATAAGCATTAGGATTAAAGCCTCTTTAGGGGTGCTAGAGGAAGATGATCTAATCTAATCCCCTTGGAAAGGAAGAACTATGGTCTACACACCAAAATGTGCAGTGCTCACAGGACACCCCCCTTCATTCCAGTAACACTGTGGACTCCCATGAGGAGGGTAAAGTGTCAGCCCTGTGGTGTCCATGTGCCAAGGCCCAGCGACTCTTCTGGACACCTGCTCTGTGCTTGACCCAAGGCTGGAACTGAACCAGAGAAGTGAACAACTAATGCTCCTCACCTTCTAGAAGCTCATGGACCAGTGGGAGAAGTTAGCACGGGAAGGTCATACACAAGCATGAACAGAGGGGCAGAGAATAATAGGGTGATCACAACGATACCTTCACGTAAATCTGTGTCAGAAATAATATACTCTGACCCATTATCTGTCTGTGGACATCCTGCCATAGTGGGATTGTCTCAGCACCTATAGGAACAAAGATAAAAGATTTGAGTCTGAGGGGCCATTTCCAAGACCTTGGTAGGACTCTGGTTCCTAAGGTCTTCATTCTTGACAGAAAGCTAGAAAGCCTAACCTGACATAAAGACTTAGTCATAAAATCTGAGTTGCCTCCTGGAACAAAACTTCACAGCACTCATAGGAGACATCAAGCAGTAAGAGTAGCTCACTGGTGTACCAAGCCAGGTATAATTGTTGACAAATAACACCCCCCCCCAAGCTTCTCATGCCTTAGCCCCCTCTTTTCAGCCATACTCTTCCCGTCAGTATCTGCTTCTGCCTGGGGTCAGAGCCCTCTGATAGCACACCAGCAGCTCCCCAGTGAGAAGCACCTCCATAGGACAAGACACAAAAGCAGCTGGCTCAGCCCCTTACCTCCACCAGCCCTAGCCCACAGAAAAGAGGAAAGTTCAGAGTCAGAGGACACCCAGCTATTGGCTGGCAAGCAGTGGCCTTTATTGAGAGTCCAGGGAACACAGATGTAATTCCAACAGCTCCAAGAGTGACTGGCTCTGCCAAGGCAGGTCATTTATCTGGTGAACATTAGAAGGCTTGGCTTCCTGGATGAGGCATAGCAGTCAGTAATGTGCAAGAAGCCAGTTTCTCCTCCCAGAAGATCCCTTGAGGCACCTGATGAAGAAATCATCACATCAGCACACATGTGACCTATCTGATCTCCCCTAGAAGCAAGCCTCAAACCCAACCCCATGAGGAAATTGTTGATGACAAACTCTGAGGAGGCTGAGGGACTTCCCAGAGCTCAGTTCTCCTACTGTGTTATTTTGGGACTAGGACTGGAAATACAATGTCATTCATGAAGGGATGCTGATTCCTGGGCCTGGGAAGTTTGTCCCCTGTATTCATCCTAAGAGAGTCCTATGATTGCAAAGTTAGCTGTGTGCTTCAAGCAAGATCTGCATGCACTTCTGGACACAAAGCCACTTCACCTTGACCATTTCTGAATGAAGTGTTAGGCTGAAAGCTCCCTTCTCTATACCCTTTCAGCCCCTCAATGATGTACCCCTATAACATTGGGGAGCCACAAGCACCAAGCAGCGCACCCTGAGGCAAGCCTGATCCCTGGTATTGCCAAAATGCAGTGGACTCCAGAACTTAGGGTACAAAATGTTGGCGATGACTACTCCAAAACTGGGCCCCGGATCACTCCTTATTCCCCACTTCTGTTCTGGAAATACAGACATTTATAAGCTCTCAATAAATGGCAATGATATTTTTGTATCATGTTTGTTATACACACATACCCCATCCCATCTGCTGAAGTCAAACATAAAATTTTTTGAGGCACAAGTTAACTTGACTGTAGTGAATTTCAGGAGAGAGACTAGAAGCACCTATTGCTTCATATTCACCTGTTTAATTGCAGGGAGGAGGTACAAAGAATAAAACTGAATCTTCAAGGCAAGCCCCTCCATTAGCCCCTCCTCCCACTCCTGAAAAGTGTCTTCTTGCTCCATCCCCGTGCTTACCACCACATCATTTTTGGTCTTGGAGGAACATGGTCCTTTGTTGTTGAAACCTAATCCCACTGCTTTGAGCTTCCAGGTTATATGTTATCCCAGGAGACAGGGTGGTAGTAAATTCTGACACACTTTTCTTCAAACCTAGGTTCAGTCAGAGTCATCTTTCTTAAGTCCTCTCTGCCCAGTCAGAGTCCATCTGTGAAGAAATGGACCAGAACTTTTATCTTAGAGTAGAAGGAATGGATAGTATGAAGCAGCTAAAATGTCCCATCATCTGACCCACAAATTCCTTAGGTCTCTATTTAATCAGGATCTAGTCTAGAAAGCAGAACCCACACAGGGAATTGCAAACAGAGTCAAATAAAGGAATTGTTAAAGAGCTCAGTGGTATAAAAGGAGTTGCTGAAGTATGCCAGATAGTAGCAACTTCATGACGGAAGCTTATGGGAACAAGAGTATAGGAATCAAAGTAGGAAACTTGTGGCGCTAATGTCCAGACTTCAGAAGTGTCCTCAGCTAAAGTGATATTCAGAGCTCTGAAAATATAGTGTAGTCTGATGGGTGCAAGGACCTTCAAGGTGGACAGGATGGGTCAGCCTGGCATATGCTCAGAGTGTCAAGGGGTTTCAACCCAGAGAACTGTCTCTTCATGGATTCAAAGCCTATGGGTAAAGTTTGAATTATCCTTGCCTTAATAAAGGTTGCAAAAAATCTATCTATTATGGTGATATGTGCTCCTCTTTAGCCTAAGCCTCTTATTCCAAACTTGATGTTGACCTTTTCTAGACTCCCAATATTCAGAGAATCCAGGACTCCAGGACCAGATTTCCCAGAACTCAGCATCCATTCTAAAGACCCCAGTTTAATCTTCAGTGTGGAAGAGTATCAGAGAAATTAAAGGGAATAGGAATGACAATGATAAAAATGGGAGAAAGCTGAAACACTAGTGTTGAAAACTAAAATAGAAAGATTCCATCTGTGAAGAAATGGACCAGAACTTTTATCTTAGAGTGGAAGGAATGGATAGCATGATTACATAATGCCCTATCTGTATTTGAGAAAACACAATATCAACATTGACACCAATTATAAAAAATAAAGAATGTAGTTTTGCTTGCTATAGAAACATAACCCAGTTTGCCAGGTTCTAAAATGTTTTGCTGAAATATATACCTATGAAAATTATGTACACCATTAAGAGTTGCTTGACTTAAATTCAAGTACTGACAAATCCAAGGATTCTGGAGATGGTTTTAAGAAATCACTCAATCAAGATTTCAGTTTTCATGCTCAAATATATTATCATCAGTTGAAGCAGATGATAAAATGATGTTGAGTTTTCATGGCATCAGTGATAATAACTCACTCAACTCTCCTTTCGCTGCGGGTTCACCTCTTACAGATTTGGATTATAATCCAGAAAGACACAACCTCAAACTGCCAAAACCCCAAAGATCAAGGACTTTGAGGATTTAGAAATTTTGAGATTTTGACCTTCAGGTTTGTGTCTTTGGAGATTATGCCCCAAGCCCAAGGTTAGGCTTGCCCAAACCTCTATCCCTCCAAGCCCATTGTCTAGACTTGCTTCCTTGAGTGATGGCCCATCACCTCTTCCTGAAGCTGGTTTCTCCATGAAATTCTAAACATTTTGGATGTCAGTCAACATGCTATGTAACAGCTTTCTCTTCAGTGACTGTCAGTGATGTCCCAGCTTCACTTTCCTTTTCTGTGTCTTCCCCTATTTACCTAAACAAACCAAGGCAGTTGAAGGAACTCATGCCTGTAGTTACTCAAAGCTCCACCTGTCAATGACTCTCAGCTCTCAGTGGGTGTCACTTCTCTTTGTCTTTGCTATGGGAGAGGAAGCATTGCCATACAAGTGCCCAACACCCCACATCACTGGTTTGCGCTATCACTGGTCCACCATATCTAGCCCCAGTAATAAATAAGTCTCTGCCGCAATAGTGCTACATAATAAATCAAACCAATTTTAGGGACTTTGCACAATTGTTTATTTCACTCTCCAGCTGTGGGTCTGTGTCAGTTCAGCTGGTCTCACTGGACTCCGCTTCCCCCCAGGGTGTGAGTCAAGATCTATTCTCCCAGGTTTGCATTCCAGGATTGGGGCTAAAGATGCAATCTGGTCTTTCTCTTCTCAAGGCTGAGGGCGAGAATTCCAAGAGGCCATACACATGCCATGTGTCTTCAGGCCTTAACTCAGACGTGGCTCACTGTCACTCGGCCCACATTCCTTTGGCCAAAAGTCATATATGCGCTCTGGGAAGCAAGAGGAGTGGGACCAGGTTAGAACAGGAAAGGGGATAATCTGAGGGATCGATGCAAATATGAATAAAGGACATAATGATTTTAATTCCAAATTTTCAGAAGACAAATCACAGTGGCAAGATTGCCCGTCTGCCTGGTAACACAGCACAACCAACAATACAGACTCCTGGGGGACTGGTTTCAAAACCAGTGCAGCTCATTACCTTTAATTGCCTGGCCCACCTTCTCCCCTCTCTAGCCAGGACCAAGGCCCAGCAATGGCTGCCTCGCCTCCCAGGGCTTAGCCCAGATTCCTGCACAGGGTAAAGTTCCTAGTCGTGGGTGCACCAATGATCTCAGTGTGCATGCAGCATCCTCTAACAGCAGGAAATGAATGGGTATCCGGGGTGGGTTTAGATGTTAAAGGGGTGCAGGAGGATTTGGGTGGGAACAGAATAGGAGCAGTATCACAAGTGTTTGCTGGGTTTTATAGAATTGAGGAATAGAGAGGTAACAGCCTCTAGCTGTCTGATCTGGGGTCAGTTTCAAGATGCAGTGGGGTTGCTAGGGCTGCGTGCCTTTAGTACTTTAGCTTGCCTTTCTAACTAAGGTGAATAAAATGAAATGAAATGGAATGAAATGAAGTGAAATGAAGTGAAATGAAATGAAATAAAATAAGTCCAAAATGGCAGCTATTTCTCACAAGTCGGCCTTGAGCTTTCGAAATGAGGCTATTCCAAACTGAATGGACTCTAATGTGTGAAAACACACACCAGATTGTGAAAACCTAGTAAAAAAAAAAAAAAAGGAATGTAAATATCTCCATGCTTTTTATACAGATTACTTGTCAAAGTGATAATACTCTGGATATTGGACTGAAGAGTGTATATTTTTTAATTTGTTTCACCCCATTCTCTTTCTTTTAATTAATAAACTTTATTTTTAGAAAGTTTAAGGTTTTGAAAAATTGTTCAGGAAGTGTGCAGAGTTCTCATACACCTCCTCTCCCCGCACACAGCAGCCGGTTTCCCCTAATATTAACACCATGCATTAGTGTGCTACATTTTTTATAGCTGATGAGTCAATATTATACATAAAAAATGTATAATGTTGATGCATTATTATTAACTATTGTACATAGTTGACATTAGACTTTAGACTTTGTGCTACACATTTATGACTTTTGACAAATGCATATTGTC